CCCCCCCCCCGCCACCCGTCTGCATGCGCCGTCGGAAGGGAAAACCCTGACCATACAGGGTGCATGAGCAGAACCGTTTGCTCAACGAAAATTGTATCCACGTGGACGTAATTATCTTGCACTCGTTGCTTATTGATATCAAATGTCTTTAATGTACCTTACAAACCTTCCAAGACAGAATCGTGTTTTCAGGGGAGAGTCATTTTAATACATGACGTAAATCGTTTACGAGCTTCACCTTAACGACCTCTCATCAAGAAGGCGGAGCGAATTACTGTGCCCATCACCCGCTTTCTCTATCACATCACTTTGCGTCCTCCCTTATTGCCCTCTAGTCTCCACCCTACCGAGTCGGAACTCGACCCGACCCGAACTCGACCCGACCCAAACACGTCTCGACTCGAACTCAACCCGACACGAACTGGACCCTTCACGAACTGGACCCTTCACGAACTGGACCCGACACGGACTCGTCCCTACACTAACTCGACCTGTCCTCTTTCGACCCGACACGTCCTCTTTCAACCCACACGTCCTCTTTCGAGCCGACGCGTCCTCTTGCGACCCCCCGACTTTCTTTGACCCTATACGACCTCTTTCGACCTGACTCGGCATTCTCCAACCCGACATAACAATCATGTATCCGATTCTAACTCGCTGAATTCCACCCGACGTCATTGGATCCGACTCTATTTCACTTGACAAGCCCCATCGTCACTAGACCCGACCCGATCTACCTCGACCCTACAAGTTGTCACTCGACCCGTCACGACCTCACTCGACCAGACTCGACCTCACTCGACCCAACCCGTCATATAAACACCCAAACTCATTCCAGTTCAAACACGATCAAAAGGCACATGAAGTAACCCCTAAAAAATTGTCCACAGACATGCGACGATCATGTAGCGCGGTCCGCACATCATGTGACCATCCACCTATACCCGATCCAAATCTGACAGAAACGTTAACACGGTGAAGTCTCAAGTGGTCTGCATAGTTCCTACCTTGCTTCTTGTTCCGTTTCGCCTTAATCTATGATTTAATTATTATTATATATTATTGTTTAATATTTGAAAATCTATGCTTTTTAATACAACATAAATAATAAAAGATAAATAAATGCCAGGTACAAAACTCACAAACGGTTTGACAAAACTAAATATGACTGCTTCCCTGTATGAATTAGTTCTCTTTACGTCAATTTGCGCAAGCAAAATATTGTAATTGGCATTCAAGTAGAAGTTAATTCTTCACTGGATAAATCAAAAGAATCATCCTTGCTGTATTAAAGTCGTTTTTACCCCTCGTTATAATATTACCGATACCATCCAATTAATTATCGCTTAGGGCTGAAATTATTACGATGTAAATATCATAAAAAATTCTGGGAAATATTATTTGCTTCTGCGTTAGATTTGGGTATGTGTCTTTTGCGCTTACGTGTTTGTGTGGAAGACATGGATATTCAACTTTGTGATAGAGATTAATGCTTCATGTGTGAGTTTGCTTTGAATTTTGTTGAAACTGTGGGTTTATATTTTCTGCTTGGCTCTGAGCACGTGCTTCGACTGCGCAGGCCACTAGGTGAAGGCATGAAAGCGTTTGTTGTAGGAACGTGTTGTTGTTTGATTAGGCAACTACGTGGTGGTGTGGAAGCGTTTGCTCTAAGAACGTGTTGTTTGTTTAGGTATCTACGTGCTGGTGTGGAAGTGTTTGCTCTAAGAACGTGTTGATGTTTGTTCAGGCAACTAACGTGCTGGTGTGGAAGCGTTTGCTCTACGAACGTGTTGTTGTTTGTTCAGGCAACTACGTGCTGATGTGGAAGCGTTTGCTCTAAGAACGTGTTGTTGCTTGTTCAGGCAACTACGTGCTGGTGTGGAAGCGTTTGCTCTAAGAACGTGTTGTTGTTTGTTCAGGCAACTACGTGCTGGTGTGGAAGCGCGGCATCGCCGTGCTGACGGCTGGCTCCACCAAGGTGAGCCCCGACGAGCGTCTGCGCCTGGTGGACGGGTCCAACCTGGAGATCCGCGACGTTGCCACGTCGGACGCCGGCGACTACGTCTGCCAGATCGGCACCATGGAGCCAAAGGAGATCACGCACACCGTCGAGATTCTCGGTGAGTACCTCTCGCATTACCATCTTTTTAAATTAATTCATGTTTTCATTCATGTTTGAATCAATCATTCGTAGCATTTCTTGAAATATATTATAGACTAGAGTACTTAATGAACAAGACAGAGAACATTTATTTTTACCTGAAAGCTTGTTTATTTAAGAATATATATTCAAGATTTCAAATACACAATGTAAATATTCTTATTTTTTGAAAGGAAAGTGTAATAATACTCCGTTTATTTATTTCCACTTGTGGTTCACTCCAGTAGTGGCATACAACTTTGCGTCCGTGATTTGCAACTTTCGGCAGAAAATAGTGATAAAGGATTCTATCATTCTAAAAATTATTTTAAGAGATTGTTTATTTTCATTTTGTCACATAATTATTTGACGCTTTAACCAAATGTTGGGAATATTTTGAACGATTTGTAATGGCGAATGCTAAAGAGAAAAATAAAAACTCAGCCTTTTCCCCCTCAAGTTTCCCGCAAGTGAAAAATAAGCTATACCGATACTATTAGTTCTCCATTTCCACAAAATATTTTTATTTTACCTGCTAATCATTGTTTATAATTGGCCTCGATTGTTATCGTGAGTCAATGGGAAACCAGCATTAAATTTGAAGTAGTAGTCTTCTTGACTATTATTATTACCTTTATTACAATAATAGTTTTCATCATCAGTGCATAGCATCAGTGTTAAAATATATATATATATATATATATATATATATATATATATATATATATATATATATATATATATATAGCTCATTGCCACATGCTTTGTTTGAAGAAATAATAGCAACTCTTTTGGCACCACAGTTGTATATATACGTTTTGGTGAAATATAATTTTCGAGAGTTTGTTTCACCTTTGTGACAGTGCCTGTTTGATGAGTAAATTTTGAGAAAAGGGCGCTTATAGTGTGCTCCTGTCCGCTCTATTTGCCGAGGGAATAATAGCTATTTTAACCCCCGCCCTTCGGGTTGCGCGGGGAAAGTGAACTGTGCCGGCGGTTGCGTTGCGTTGACCCCGGGTCACCGCCCTCCCCTCAGGAATTCCATCGCCGACGCGCGCCCCCGCCCTACGCACACGCGGGCCGTAAATGCGCGTATACTCGCTGCGCGTTGCGACCAGCCGCTGCCCGCCGGGCCTTTGGTGTTGACAGGACTCTGGGATACGCGCGGGCGGGATCTCCGTTGGCCTTTTTACACCTCGAAGTAAATTCCGCAATATTCGCCCGGTCGCTGATCCACGTAAACCCGCTCCCCTCCCCCCTGTCCCGACCCTTCGTTTCTTATTACACCTGCCCCATCACTCGCCCCTCCCTGTTCTATCACGCGTCCCACCACTAGAGGCTCCGCCTCCAACCTCACCCAGTCTCTGTCTATCTCGCCTCCCGCCAGAGTTTGTGGCCGGAGGTTCGTCATTTTGGGATACGATTAGAGGCTAGACAGCGTAAGGGTTCAATTGCAGAGTAAGACGCCGTAAATGTCGACAGTGAGCAGTTCTCACCTCTTGTATGGAAGGTCGCGGTCTCAGCCTCTTAACAGCGCAGCGACGTAGACCTCAAGGAATCTCTGTATCTAGCGGCAAGCGACATCTTCGTGCAAACGGAGGATTGATCAGCTTTTGTGTCACGACACTTTGTCTAAGGAATGTTCAAAACAACGTACGCAGTGACACTGCCAAACCTGTTACAATATATAAAAAAATTAGACCACTTCTTGCGTCGTCATTTGACTAATGAACTGGCGACGTGTTATTCTCTCAAGTGACCTTGGTTACTCTCTGCAGCTGTGACAGTAAATGGTCATGCCCGCTGCGTAGGAATACGACTGCTCAAGTTGGCAAACCCGTGTCCTTTCCAGATGTACTCCTTTAAAATTGACTATTTCTTTTAAATGTCAGTTGAAAGAAACTTCATCGCGTAAACAGGTATTTCATTTTAGTTGTTGAGAGAGGAGGATCGTCTGCCAGTCTACGAGTACTACAACCATATCCTTTGCCCGCAGTTTTTTCTGGCGTTATAAAAGGGGTCAGGTTAAAAAACGTTTACACGAGGCCACCTGACCGTTTGAACCTGTTAATTAAAACCATGTGAGTGCATTCCACGGCGTCGGTGATATCGCTGTCCGGGATAGAACATGAAATAGCGTTGAGTACAAACACTATGTTGTACGTTTCTTAAGAATATGACGGCAGCTGTTAAGTGCACTCCGTGCTGCCTCCTTATAAAAAGGTCTTTTAGCATTGCTTTTTGGTTCCGGCAACATTTATTTTACATTCAAAATTGCGGGTAAAGGGATGAAGCATCGGAAGACAAGTTCGTCTCTTTTGGAACGTAATGAAAGGAATGCAGAAAACAGGCTACTGTTGTAAGAGAATATCTCTCTTTTAGGATGAAGTTATAGTTGTAACATGTAAGTAAAAAAGTTGTAGTAAAAATGTATAGTTAAAAAATTAAAACCATTTTTTTCTCAATTTTGCACAGCACCTTACCTATGGCATAAATGCGAGTGTCTTCCGTGTACTTACTAGATGTGTGGTCTGTCTCGTGCTTTATCTCAAAACGTGAAATGCACCGATCAAGTGGGAGAGCAGAGTCGCTAAGAGATCCTAAGAGATATATATTTCTGCGCCGCATTCCCGCAGATATTTCGACACCAGTCGCACTGTCTAGCGGACTACGACCTAGCACCTGAGGATGGCGATAAAAAATATAGTCCAAGAGAAGTTATTGTATCAGTAAAATTTGTATAATTTCTTTTATATACGAAATATTTTAATGCACTTTTTACTAATAATCTTTAATTAATGATGGAAATGATAATCTTTAAGAAATGGATCTCTTTTATATTACGTGGAGCCTTATGTGGAGGAGGACGACGGGTCCATCAGAGTACATGTGCGATCTCCTCCCCTTCCCCCCTCCGCACGTCCACACTGCTCCCGGATCGGACAATCGGGGGTCCTCCACCGTTGCGCCACACTGCCGCTTCACCCCTCCGCTGATTCACGCTACCCCTCCCTCCCTCCTCCCGCGGCCGATAAGCGGGGGCACAACTCTACATAACACTCCTCGCGAACGGACGTCCGACTGGCGACGTCGACAGAAATCATTGAGATGATAGGATTGCGCGTGGGGTAATTGAAACGCGGGTGCTAATGGCCGCGATACGCGAAATATGGAGTTCCAATAAAAGAGGGCGCCAAGACATTTGTTACTCCGGCATTCAAATTCGTATACAGCGAAATGTCGTGGGTTAAATAACAAATTATATTTTTTTTCAGGTTCAGTTCATTGAATATTTAACAAAGGTACTCAATTAAGAAAAGCAAACGTTCTCAATTACTGTGATTTTTGAAAGACATTCATAGTAATGATAGTGGTTTCTGAAAGAATTTCAACAGCATCACTTCGTGATTTGATTTTTATAACATTTTAAAATCCACCATTTATAGGGATATGTTTAATGCCTTTTTACTAATTTAAAACAAATAATTTTAGAAACCTTGAGATTGTGTTGCAAGTCACCTGAGTGTAAATCATACTGGCATGAAAGCAAAAATGGTAATATTTCGAAACCTTATAGTAAATGTATTACGTTATCATTATTCGCCTCGTGTCGGAACAACTTTTCAGGTGTTGACCCTTATCCAAAACTAATTTTCATTTAATAGTGAAGAAATTCACCAAAAAATAATTATTTTCAGATAATCCTACTGTGGCTCGCTTCACATGTATTCAATGTGTATAAAATCCCGCGAGATATGTAATGAACCGTGTTCGGTTGATAATATCCTCGCCGTTTATAGAGACTTGTGAGAACGCGCTGCCTGTGAAGTCGCGGCGCAGCAGTAAATGTTTGTGCAATCTCGTGGACAAACAAGCGATCCGATCGGCGCGCAGTTAGGCGACGCGCTGTCGCTTGAGGAGGCGGCGAGCGCAAGATGCCGGGGGATAAGCGGCGCCGCGAAATAAATCGCTGTCATAAGCCCCTCCCTCCCCGGCTGCAACGCATCGCGGCAAACGTATTTTTTCAGGAGGCCCAGATAGGAGATGCTGTCACTCGATAAACCGCCTTCCCACTCCTCTCTTTCCCCCTCCTCCCTTCTCTTTCCCCCTCCCACGACTCGTTCTTTCTCCTCCCTCCTCTTTCTTTCGCCTCCCTTTTCTTTCTTTCTTCTCCTTACTTTCCCCTCTTTCTCCTATTTCTTGCTCCTCCTCCTCTTTCTCCCTCTTTCCTCCTCCTCTTTCCACCTGTGTCCTTCCTTTTATCTCCTCTCAAAACCTTTTCACTATTTCCTCTACGCTCTCCCCGTCCTCTTTTCCTCGTTCTGTAGCCTCTTTCTCTTCTTCTTCTTCTCTTTGTGCATATTCTCAACTTATCTCTCTTTTTCTCCCGCAATTAGCAATATTATGTTGCTTTATGTACTTTAAAAGCTCAAGATTTCCGCGATTCCCAAAATGTTTCACATTATGATTTATATTTTTTTTAATTCGACTCATTCCTATTTCTATATTACTTGTCCTACTCATCTCTTTCCAGTGTGAGGTCCTGTTTCCTTTATTGTTCATTACAATCATGTGTGTTGTAAAAAACCCTAGTGTGATAATCATGTCATGGGGCTGTATGAAGCGGTATTTTATTTTCTAATGTCTTAAAACAAACTTGTATTTATACATGGACCCGAGCTTTCATAACAGCTCTCCTAAAAGCTTTCATATCACTTATTTCCTAAAATCTCCAAAACAACATCACACCTATCGAAGTTAAAATCTGTGAATCATTCTTGAGCGCGAAATGTGATAAAGTCACCCGCACGCTGCAATGGAAGCAGCCGCATTGGTCGCTTTCAACTCATGAGCTGCGTGTCAATCCAGGGCCAGATAGCGCCTTCAATCAGACGTTCTTTCCCCTGTCTCCGATGCGCTTGATTGACATGCAGATACTGTCAATAGCAATATATCATTCTGCATAATTTGAGTCCAGAA